TTCCCAGAAGGACTGAGGCCCAACCCTTACTCCCTGAAAATTTTCCCTGGCTTATCAAGACTGAAAGGGCAAGTGTTTAGACTTTGAGGAGTATATATACTTCTGTGAGGAAGAGACAGCTACAGCAAGCTTGAAAAAAACCTAGTGCCATTCAGGACACTCATAAAGAAACCTAGGTCAGATCCAACAGTTCATGGGAATTACTGACCTATTTCAAATTCATTATTCTAGGATTAAAAATCTGAGCAGATGGTGTCTCCCCATCTCCAAGTCTGTTTTACACTGTTTTACACTGGAATGGATCCAGATAGTCAGCAATCTGTATTCAAGGTTTCATTTTAGGAAGGAAAATGCTGATTGCTACAGCAAATAACATTCACTGAGAGAATGAAGGGTGAGCGTACAACCTCACTAGTTCTCACAAGGTTCTCACAAGGTTCTCGAGGATTTTCCTTATCCAGCCATAATATCCCTTTAAATTGTTTTTCCCCTGAAGCACCTGGAGTAGATTAACTGGATTATGATTTAATTGAACTCATTTTAGCAGTATAATCAGTACCAACTCCATATCTTTTTATCCTCAAGGAAATCATGTAATGTATAATGCAGTAACATCTTTTTAAGTATATTTGGCTGCAACTGATTGACAGCTACTGTAGGACGTTTTAAAAAAACCTCATGAAAATACTTTTAAGTTATTAGGGATGTCTATAGAACTCATCCAAATTTAGAGATGGATCCATCATCTTCAAAAATATTGCAGGCTCTTCAAAGCAAAACAGCATTCTCTTCAAAGTGACTAGAATTTAATCTGAGATCTAAAACTTTATGGGTGATCTACAGTTTAGAAGGTCTTACAGAAGGCAATTATCTGAACAACAACAACAACAAAAAAGTTACTTTGCCTTCAGTCTTCCATGGCAAAATGGAAAGAGGTGAACAGACAGATTTAACATCTTATTATCTAGAGGAATGGTTTAGCAAGGTTCTCTGATTTTAGTACTTTGGTAGAAAGATAAGGAGATTGGCGAATATCTGTTTCTGCAGTGAAGTATAATTATCCTCACCTTGAATCAGCATCTGTCTGGGGAGAAGAAGTCCTGGGAGATATTGTTGGGGAGGTTATAACCAGTGACTAGAGGGAAAGGATATAGCTGCAAAATAAAAATGCTGGGAGAGATAAGGAAGCTAGCTACTCCCACTTCAAGGAGAAAGGCATGTTCCACAGGCAGTCAGAATAGTAGCAAATCTGAGTAGCTCTGGCACAAAGCAACCTGCTTGTCTTGAAGTTGTAACTGCTTTGCTATCCTTAGCTTCTTGTTTAATTGCTCGTCTTATCAGCTGCAGTGGCAGAGGCCTGGGAATTTCTTGCAAGCAAGGGATTCTTTATTAAGGAGTGATGTAAGCAGTTTTGTACTGCCACCAAGGAAATTCTGTTTTTCTTTCTGTGTTTCTATGAACTTGTTTACTTTAATAACTCTGTTTATTTGGTGACTTGCTTCCTAGCTACATGGCTGCCAAAAGCCTTCAGGTGCCTGGTCCCAACCTTACCTGTTGACAAGGCTGCACGGAGCTCTAAGACTAAGAACGTTTCCCTTTCATTTATTTATTCTTTAGGGAATCTGATATAATAGAAGAAACTGGTCTCTGATTCCAAATTCAAAGGGACTGTGGCAGCAACTGACACCTTGGCCAGGCAGGATTTTAGGCAGCTATCTACAGTCAGCCTTCCAAACAACAAGTGGGTAGTAGAAGTAACTGAAGGGGTTGGGAAGTTGCAGTTTCACCTTCCATAATGGTCTCCCTTCGATGGTAGGTGATAGTTCTAAATGAGACCTTTAATCCTAGAAGAGCACAATAAGTAAAATTGCAAGGCACATAGTTTCTTATTTATCCAGGCTTTTAAAATTAATATAATGCTGCTGACATATTTTGATGGATGTCTGTTGTATTCTATTAAGTTACTATTTTGTGTGATTACTGTACCTCCTCTGAAAGGTGATATTAAAACATTTTAAATAAAGTTCAATAAGGACCAGTACTCAAATTCATGGGACAAAATGAAGTATATTTATTCAAGATACAGATCATATTTCTGAAATTTAAAAAAACTGTGTTGACATATAAGAAGTGGTTGTAAGTAAAATCGATACAGTACCCCCCCAGAAAAGAAGAAATGCTTCAATCATCTTATATAAGATACTTAACATTTTTTCTTTAATACTCTAATAGGATAAGAGCTATGAATAAAGAGATGAAGACATTTCAGAATAGATTTGAAGAACAGTAATTTATTAGTTGTACCCTTATTAATTAACTAAAAGAACAAGAACACTGGGTTTGAGCGCAATCCAGTGGAATGCATTGTGAAAAAAAAAGAAAAGGGAAAAAAATAATAATGGTGGCTGTTTACTATTGTCTACATGTAAAGTGCATGGACTAGAGTATCGAATTTGGTATGAATATATATATAACTTCAAGAGTGGAACATACATACATACATACATACATATATCCAACACCCAGAGACTGTCCAACACCCAAAAACTGTACACTGTGGAAGTCACCTCCTCTATATGGATGACATCAAGTTGTATACTAAGCGTGAATGAGACATTGACTTGCTGATTCACCTGACATGGATCTATAGTAAGGACACTGGGATGTCATTCGGACTGGAGAAGTATGGCCGGATGGTAGTAAAAAAGAGGGAAGGTAGTTAAGACCCATGGGGTGGAACTATCAGCAGGCCACATAGCAGACATAGAGACCAGCTACAAGTACCTTGGTATCCCACAGTCACATGGGAACCACAATGAGAGGCAAGGATGACAGCAACATCCAAGTACCACCAAAGGATAACACAGGTCCTGAAGAGCAACTCAATGGGAAGAACAAAATCCATGCCACCAACACATATGCCCTGCCAGTCATCAGACACCTTGCTGGTATAGTGAGCTGGCCAAAGGAGGGCATGGATTAATGGATAAATTCATGTATGCCAGCCCGAAAGAGGGTGGGCAGGGTCTGGTGAGTGTCAAAGCCACTTTCCTGAAATAAACCCAGAGCATCCAGGAGTACATCACTAAGATTGCACCCAAAGATGGGCTGCTGAGAGAATGCCTGAGGCAGCAGCAGACATGGGAGGAAATTCAAGCAGAGGAAGTGCCATGGCAAGACAAACCCCTGCATGGGATGTACCATCAACAGATAGCTGAGGTGGCCAACATTGGGAAATCTTACCAGTGGCTGGAAAGGGCTGGGCTAAAAGACAGCATTGAGGCACTGATCACAGAAGCACCAGAACAGACACTAAGCACCAGTTCCATAGAAGCAGGGGTCTATCACACTAGACAGGACCCAAGGTGCAGACTATGCAGAGAGGCCTCAGAGATGGTTTAACATATAGAGGCACAGTATAAGATGCAGGCAGGAACAGCATACACTGAACGGCACAACCAAGTAGCTGGCATTATGTACAGGAACATCTGCACAGTGTATAGGCTGGACCCTCCCAAATCCAGATGGGAGATTCCACAGAAGGTCATGGAGAATAACAGGGCTAAGATACTATGGGATGTCCAGAGCAGATGGACAGACATTGTGGTAATAGACAAAGATCAGAAGACAACAGTGGTGATAGATGTAGTGGTGCCAAGTGACAGCAACATCAAGAAGAAGGAGTATGAGAAGGTAGAGAAGTACCAGGGCCTGAAGGAAGAACTAGAGAGAATGTGGAAAGTAAAGGCCAAAGTGGTCCCAGTGGTGGTAGGAGCACCCAGGACTGTGATTCCTAAGCTGGGAGAGTGGCTCCAACAGATCCCAGGGTCAACATCAGAGCTCTCTGTCCAGAAGAGTGCAGCACTAGGAACAGCTAAGATACTGTGCAGAGCCCCCAAACTCTCAGGCCTCTGGTAGAGGACCCAAGATTGAGGAAGACACATATCACACATAGGGGTGAGAGGGAATTTTTATTTTTACTTTTATATGTATATAGACACGCATACATGACTGAATGAAACCATTTTAACACACATGAAACATTTGTTTGCAGGAAATTTATGAACTGAAAGTAAATTTAGCTATGTAATCAGAAGTGCAAGACAGCTTCTACAGAGTTATATCATGGAAGAATCTACAATAATACAACACAGTGAGAAAGAAAATGGGATAATTGCTATGAAAGACCAACGTAGTAAACAGTGCTATTAAAAATAATCTTCTAATGATAGTTAGAAAGACATATATCCTCAAACTGTCCCTTCCCCAAAGGTCCTGATGAGCCAAATTAATAAATAATATTGAAAAAGGTAGAACATCTCACATTCAATAGGGAGGAAGAGTGAAGACAGTACTTTTACAAAGACTTCCTCTGAGCCTTTATTTATGCTTATTTTTGGCCCCATTTTTGTTTTTTTGTTTTTATCATATTCAATACTTACATTTTAAGTAAATTCAACACTTCCTAAATTACTCATTTCAGCTAATATCTCTCTCTAAAAAAAGATGACTTGCTTTTTGAATGATCACAATGCAAATGTCTTACTACACGGGAAAATGGGTTAAAATGCTAAAATTACTGGTTGAAAGACATCTATCCTAAATAATCTTACCAAGAATCCATTCACATTTATTTGTTATGCTAAATAAAAATAGTATTAAACATTACTGATATCCTATTGGGTCAACTGTTATCAACAAGGAATTTAGTTAGATAATCATGATGGACAATTTATATGAAGAGAGCACTCAAAAATATATTTGTCACTAACAAAAGTATCAAACTTGTTGAATTATCCTATTTATAGCAAATATACAACTATTAAGAAGCATGCTGGATTTCAAAGTGAGTTGACATGAATGTTCCAAGCTAAATGGTTCTAAAAATGAAGCACTGAGTGATCACATATTGGTGAGATGTTATCAATATATTGCATTTCAACTGTAGACAGTTCACATTACATAAATTTCAAAAACACTCAGCAAACATGATTTTTTACCTGCATATGGAACAGGAGCATCTTTATCCAAAGCAACTAGTGGAGGATCCAGTATGACTGTATCATTGTTTTCAGTAATAACTCCATGATAAGATGTTTCAATCCATGGCTTGTGTTTGTTTACTAGAAAAAAATACATATTTCATTAGTATAAAATGAAATTAATATTTCATTTTTTAGTTCTTATGTTTGCTTCTGAAATGAGAATTGATAATGTATACAATTATTTTCACTGGACAACTGGAGAACATCCAAAGTTTACCTATATGAAGAACTGAAATTAAACTCAGGATAACTATTATCTATCTATCATTATTATTACATCAGTTTCTCATGGCTTTCCCAAAGCCAAGGTGTGGAAAAAAGTCTTCAAAATGAAATGTCACGTGCCAGGGATATGTATTAAATATTTAAGAGAGCATCACATATTTAACACATACCTTAAAATTCTTATTAACGAGTAACTTAAAACTTGAGTCCAGTTCTGTATTACAATAACCGAGCAATACCATGCTAACATAATAACCACCACCGCTACCACCACTACCCCGTAAAAGCAAAGGACATACCCATCCCACTATTCCCTTGGGTTAATTGTATTATGCAATATATAGAAAGAAAGAAACAGCAAGAAAAAGAAATTAAAGTCAGGGGACGAAAAGAAATCTAAATGTAGTTTACACCAAGACCATATGCTATATTTCTCCATACCTTGATATCCTTAAACCATCTTTGCTTCCACATGCCTCTACACCAATCCATACACTTCTTTTTGTTCTTAAATGTCTTGCCTTTCTCTTTTTGAGGATTTCATAACCACTGTCCAACTGCAATTTTCTCTGTCTTCCCCCACCCCCAACCTTTCACTCTTCCTTCAAATATTTGCACAAAATGTTCTGTATTTTAGGCATCTTCACTTTATCGTATGCTTTCACTAAATCAAAAAACACATACTAATTTTCTTTCTTACATTCTTCTATTTCTCAATAACCTGTTGAAGAGCAAAACTCTGATCTGCACATCCCTGCCTAGTATAAAGCTATACCATACTTCCCAAATTTTGATCATTGTCAGATCTTGTAACATTTCAGTCAGAATCCTGCTAAACATATTCCCAGACACACTAAACAAACTAATTTCCCTGTGATTTTCTGTTCCGGCTTATTACGTTTTTCTTTGTATAAACAGTAACAATATTTTTCCAAAAAAGCTGATGAAGGTACCTAGCTACTTTAAGACCGTTCAACTGTTTCACGCTCAGCTTAAGTGGGAATTTTATTACATTCCTTCTGAGCTTGAAAATGGAGTCATTGACTTAGCTTTGCCTGTTCACAGCCCAACACCAGCAATGACTTAGGAGAATATTTGTATTACCACAATTTATTCTCCACACCCTTCATACATGAGAAATCATTATTATATGTCAAAATTAGTGTGGGCGTAATGTTAGTTTTAACCAATAATTAAAGATTGTGATCATATCCTTGTCTTGACTTTGGTTAATCCTGCTTCCTCAAATATTATCAGTCCTACCAATATCAGTCTAATCTCCTTAGAGGAGATGCAGCAGTGTCTTGGCCTTAAATACTTTAATCACAGGAGCAATGTATTCTCTAACATGCAAAAAAGACTGTAATAGACAAGATGCTCCTTTGAGAATTTAAAGAAGAAATATGAATATTTTGCTTCGGCATGGCTTGGATAGCCACCTTTAGATATTTAAAGATGCACATGTATTTAAAATTGTATGTGAGTGTATTCTAAAACTGTTTTCACATCATATATAAAAAGCACATAAAAAAAGCAGAAATAATGACATTTCTTCCAGGTTTAACATCTTACTGCTCTCTATTTCTCCCAATTTAAAATGATTACTATACATACATACATACATACATACATATACACATACACACATACACACATACACACACACACTAAATGTCCTTAAAATTACAAATAATAGAAATAATTTTTAAAAAGCAGAAATAATGACATTTCTTCCAGGTTGAACATCTTATTGCTCTCTATTTTTCCCAATTTAAAATGATTACTATACATACATACATACATACATACATACATACATACATACATACATACATACATACATATACACATACACACATACACACATACACACACACACTAAATGTCCTTAAAATTACAAATAATAGAAATAATTTTTAAAAAGCAGAAATAATGACATTTCTTCCAGGTTGAACATCTTATTGCTCTCTATTTTTCCCAATTTAAAATGATTACTATAATTATAATTTAAAAATTCCTCTGAATTTACTACTGGATATATATTTTTTATGTGGAGCATTGGGTGCTTATACTGTCATTTTACTTGTTCTATTTACAAATATTTAAGCACATAAAAGAGCTTCTATACAAGACCTTCTATGGTGCCAACATCTACTAATACATATATTTCTTATTTATAAGTGTGTTTCCCAAAATTGGAGGAGGTAGTAGAATGGAGATCTTGAAAGAAAGGCAAGATATAAATCCTTTAAAAATCATCATCATCATCATCAGCAGCAGCAGCAGCAGCAGCAGCAGCAGCAGCAGCAGCAGCAGCCAACCACCCATCACAATAATTTATCTCCAGCCAGCTCTGTATCTCTGCTCCTTCTTGCATTGAATCTGCCAGACTCTCAGGCCTCCACAGGTAAATTGTCCATCCATAGATAGCTGCTATGAATTATGGCCATTATTTCATTAAAGGCCACAATTCTCATCAGTTGCCAGTCAAGGAAAATCACACTGAGAGATCCATTTCAAATAATCAAGTAGCAAAGTCACCACGATATTTTCAGAGCTGATACATCATGATAACCATATGTATCCTATGATAATATCTTCTGACTTCTGAATATGCTGTTGAGTATAATTTTCCTCCCTTTCTATAACTTTCTACTTTTTAAGAAACACATTTTTAAACCTATTTTTCCCATATAGCATCCACAAACATAAAAATGAAATCTTAAGCTTTTATTCTATAGTGTAGGACCTTTTTCCAACACTGCAATCTGAAAATCATTTGTTCTTCAGAAGTTTCAGTATCTCTCATTTTCTGGATAATATAAACAATATAGTCTACCCACATAGAAAGTAGGATTTTGTAATGTTCACTGATGAAAAATATAGCTCAGCAAGTAGCTTTTCTACTTCTCATTATTACTTGAAGTTTATTTACAAAGGTTATGCAACAAGAAACACAATACTGGTTAAAGATTATAATATTATTATTTATTGAAAGACACACTAATTCCAATCTAATATTAGCAGGAGATTCTCCTTGGCTTCTTTCTTAGTGGAAAAATAATACCTTTATTGTAAAAAATAGAGAAGGGAGGGAGGGAGGAGAAAATGGCAGTTTGAAATGTTACTATTGTTCTATAGTACCTTCTGAACTATTATGTATGTCTGATCTTTTTCACTGCTATTCTTTTACCTTGTTATTTCTATCCAAGAACAAGTCATTAACAGAGCCAACTTATCCTATTAATATATTAATATTTTCTATTAACCTTTGCTTGTACTGTCATTGGTTGTTCACAGAATACATATATGGCTTCTCCTCAACAGATTTCTTCAACCTCTTTTGTTATCAGGGTATAACTGACTACACATCGGGGTCCAATAAGAAATCAGAGAGAAAATGCCAAGGGCTTACAAATGCTAAATGTTCACAGGAACTTGATCAGTGGAAATAAGTGCTGAAAAATTTAACATCAGACATTCAGAAAGTGCAGGGTGCTTTAAAATAATATCTAGTTACATCTGGCTATAAATCAAAATATTTAGCTATCTTTAGAATATGCTGTGAGATGTATGAAGTTGTGCAGGTACTTCACATACATGCATTTTATATTTAATATTAAATATATTTGTATTTAATAAAACCTTATTGTTCAGAAGCTTTCACTCAACCATAAAAAACATCTTTTTACAATTAGTATTATTTATATTCTATGGTTATGATCAAAGTTAATTGATATAAATATGTCTGCAGAAATTCAATAAATTTCTTGAACAACTCATTTCCATGTTCCACTTTTCTGGATACGATCCTCAGGTGACTTCATTTCTTTCTTTCTTTGGTAATAACTTTATTGAAGTTTTTAATATACATAGTAAAAACAAATACAAACTAAACTAAAAGATTAAAGAAAAGTAAGAAAGAAGTTTAAAAAGTACAAGAGAAAGAAAGGAAAAAGAAGAGAGAATAAAAGAAAAAAGACTTCATTTCAAATAGCTAACATTATCAACTTTTATCCCAGAACCTCAGGAACTGACTTGGCATTTATTGCAATAATAAAAGTGATAGATTAGATGGAAAAACTACACATTTTATTGTAGATAGATCAGCAATTTATTACACAAGGATGCAACAATGGGGAGTTAAGAAAACCAAAAAGATGGCAGATGAGGAAATTAGAACTGACTGCAGAGAAAGAAAGTGAAGCACAACAACACGCTGCCTCCTTCTCTTACTCCCTACATCTGATCCAGAATGATGATTGATGGTACTGAACACTGCTAAGAGAGCAAGGATAATCAGGATAATTACGTCACCAGACAAAAGGTAAAGATATAAGAGATACCATAAACAAAATGAAGCCTAAAACCAGCTTAAAATAAATACCATTGTTTTTAAAAAGAGTTAAACTAAATCTCAAATAAATGCCAACCTTCAGCTTTAAGGGTATCATGGGCAATAAATAAGGGCAGTGTGAGCAATAAACCAATCAATAATGTATGAGTAAGCCAATTTATATAAATTGCATTGGATGTTTTTAACATAGTAAAGTGAATTTAAATCAGTAAAGGTTGGCATAAAGATGATTATGTATACTTAATTTTCCAAAATGTCTGTTTTTAGAGCAAAAGTGAAACAAGAAATAAAGTGCTTTGGGGGGAGGGTCAAAATTTCCAGTTATTTTATCTCTGTTTCTTCTCTGTTTTCTGCATGTGAATAAACTACAAACAGAATTGCACAAGGCTGCAAATTTTATTTGTCTTACCTGGTATTACTTTGTCCACTAATTGAATTTTGCCAGAGAGTCAATAACTATTCTTAAAAAAAAAAAGTTTCTTTCTCATCCACTTGC